AGAAAAAAGAAAATATGAGAAAGAATACAGCAAAAAGTAAAGGGAAAAAAGTAAAAAGAAAGAGAGAAAAAGCATCCAAAAAACAGCACACACGTGAGTCCAACAAATTTGTGTTTGGGTGAGTGGTTTCTTTCCAGGCCCTATAATACGGGAATCCACCAGCTATGGAGAAAGGATAGTGAGTCAGAACCAGAGCCTATTTTGTTTACACACTCACTTGTGTGTGTGTGTGTGTGTGTGTGAGTATGAGTATGCTGAGCCTTGTGCTGTCTTTACTGTGGCACAGACTCAATCAGTGGTGCTATTTCTGCCTGAGGGCTGTATTCACTCCAGTGGCTCCCAGTGTTATGCACCTCTGCATACTTCAAGGGTGTGCTCTTGTCTCTAGCTCCATGATGTATGGGCTGGTGGGAGGGCCCTTTGTTCTGGAGGCCCATCTGTCTAAAACCCTGAGTTGTGGTAACTGTCTGATGTGAGGTGTACTCCTGTTCACATTGACCAATGTGGAAAGCAAACAGACCATGTATTTCTGTATTGGATGAGAAGATGGTGGTCAATTTGCAAGACTTAATGTCAGCACTTTTTCAGATCCAGCCCTCAGAAAACCACATATGGCCAACCCAGCTTCTCATCACAGAGGGAGGGACTACAGTGTCCTTCCTGGTCCGAGCTCATCGCTGTTTAAGCCTCTTTAGAGGTTTATACCAGCTGACTCCCTCTCTTGACTGCCTCTGTTGCCATCTTCTGTGGTAGGGTTGACCCAGAAGTCTTGAAATGTAGTTGTTTTGTGACTTCTGATTTTCAGAATAGTTCAATTTTAAAGAATGAACACCTTCCTGAAATAGCTCCTGATCGTTCACTCTCAAATATACCAGGGGCTCCAGTGAATGTTTTTTTTTTTTTTCCAAATTCTAGCTTGCCATATGGAAGGAGTCAGTTTCAGAGTAAAATGTTCTATTGTATTTGCAACTTACAAAAAACATGGCTTTTCTTTGGGGCAGAGCTGCCAGTCTTTGATTTCTCCCTGGGACTGCCAATTCTCTGGGCTTGCCTTGTGTTTTTGTTAGGGTTAGTGTTCCACATTACTTCATTCTTTTCTCTGCATTGTCTGGTTTCTCTAGTTTTTCTATGATTTGTAGTTTTCCTTTTGGCTCTTTCCTACATTTCTGAGTTTTTCTTTTTCTCTTTCCTAAGTTGTTTTTCAGGTGCCTGGATTTTAGGTTCTGGAGAGACTGTGATACGTTGCTGGTCTTCATGCTGCCATTTTATCCTCATTTTCTTAGTAATATATTTGAACTGCCAAAATTTTTATCTTTGAAGTTCAGTTTATCAGTTCTTTCCTGGATTGTGCTTTTAGCTTTGTATGGATTGTGCTTTTAGCTTTATATCCAAGAAATATCTAACTTCAGGCTATGAAAAAGTTTTTTCTAAACATTTTATAATTTTAGCTTTTATCTATTCTTCATTTTGAGTTTTGTGTTGTGGTGTGAAGTTAAGGTCTAAATTCATTTTTCCCCTCCACTAGTTGTTCCATTTCATTTCCTTGGAACCTCTGAAAAATTACTTGAGAATATAAGTGTGGGCTTTTTTCTACAGTCTTAACTACTTCTGACGTATTTGTCTGTTTTTTTCCTGATGCTGCTAGGGATCAAATTCGTTGCCTTAAGCATGCTAGGCAAGTGCTTTAACACTGAGCCACTTTAGCGTGGCATTATTTCTTCATTACATGTTTGATACAACTTACTAGTGAAGCCTTCTGGGCTTGGACTCTTGGCTCAATGTTTAATTCAGTATCCTTTTATGAATTGACCCTGATTTCATGTTTCCCTTTTGGTTTCAGTAATTCCTGTCTTTCCATGCATTTGTCCATTTGATCTAAATTGTCTAATTTCTTGGCATAAACTTTTTATAAAATATTCTTATCCTTCTAGATTGGTAACGATTCTTTATTTTTATAATTTGAGTCTCTTTTTTCAATATAGGCAAAGGCTTGTTCATGTTTTCAAAGAACTAAATTTTGATTTTGGTAATTTTTCTCTGTTAGTCTTGTTTTAAAAAATTAAAATTGTATGTATACATTGATTAATATAATTTTTCCTACAAAGTTTATGGCTGTTATAATAATATTAGCTTTTTTGAGGCAAATCACACTCTCTATGCCTAGAAATAATGTCAACTTTATCTTGACAGATTTTTTTCATGTTATTATTTGACTTTTCAATTTGAATGTAGTTACTGACTTCCACTACAAAAGATCATAGTAGAGTTCTCATTCATACTTGTTCCTTTCCTGTTTTCTTTGCTTTTAGTGATATTGTCACTAAAATCAAGTTCCCAGTTTACAAATATTTGAATTGTAAACTTGTACAGATGAACAGACTACACCTTATGAGCATGAGCAGATGTTCTTGGAAGTAGTTCACATGTCTGCAGGACATGGTTACAGTTGTACTGCTGTTGCTTATACTGTACTGCAGAACTGTATAGTAGGATTATACAATCAGAGACTTACTGTATTTTTGTGTATTTGATTTTTTAATTCTTTACATTGTATATTTGTGTCATTAAAGGTGTGTAAGACTCACTTTATTGAACTTATGAATGAACCTAATTTATGAACATCCTCCCTGAGCTTAACTTTTCCATAAGTCAGGGGCTATTACTATAATTATAAAAAACTTTCAACTGAGCCATGGAGTACTATTTAATTTAATAATAGCTTTTTTTCTTGTGCATTTTTATTTCCCTTGGATTTAACAGTTTATTATTATTATTTTTTAGTTTGACTAGCTTCTGTGAACTTACCATGAATTCAATTTTGTGCACTAAACAAGGTTGTACAGATCTTTCATTATGCTCAGATGCTTGAAGTATCCAATTGTTTCGAGTCATCATGTCTTAAAGAAGACATTCCTACAGACTGCTTGTCCAATAGGGACAGCTTTCCTTTTATGTACTGTACTTTGCTGCACAAGTGTCAGTTTAGTGTTTCCTTTCATCCTTCCCTAGAGATTCTTTGCTGTTTTCTAGTGTGGTATACTCTGTTTGGTCTCTTCTTTTGTCTTTCTCAGTTTAGGGCCTTATTTTGGTGGAGCAAATCCTCTATTAGCCTCTTGAGAAAGTTTCTCAGAGGTCAATATTTTGAAGCTCTGAAGATCTGAAATAGTCTTTAAAAACTGGAAATTTTTGGAATTTTTATAGGCTTTGTAGCATTGTTTTCTAATTTTCAGTATTTCTGCTGAGAAATGGTGCCAAACAGATTTCTCCCTCCCACTCTCTCCCTTTCTTTTTTCTTTTCCTTTTGTACAAGGGATTAATCCAGAAGTGTTGTAGCATTGAGGTACATGCCAACCCCTCCTTCCTCTTCCACAATTTGAGACAGGGTCTTGCTAAATTGCCTAAGCCGGCCTTGAGATCCTTATGCTTCAGTCTTTCTGCTAGCTGGGATTTCTACTAGCTAGGTCATAGGTCAGACTCCAAACATATTTTGATCCTTTATATAAAACTAATTTATTTCTGTCTTGAATTTAAAGGAATTCTTTTGTCACTCTGTTTTCTAAAATTTACATGTACTCTGCCTGGTTTGAAGCTCATGTCATTTAGAATATAGAATTGAAAAACATTTCCCTTTCGTAATATACTTCTTCCAGAGAGGCACTATGATGTCGAGGTTGAGGGCACACCATGAGAACAGGATGCAATAATATGAATTCCCTCTCACAGAGCCCTTGAATTTGAGCAGATCGCTTAGCTTCTCTTTGACACAGTTTCCTCATTTGGGAAAGAGATGAGGTAGAGGATCTGAGGATCTTTCAATTTATGTTCCACACTCACACCCATTTTCCAAAGTGTTACTAAGTACTTGTTTGGGTTCTGATGTAAATCAGGTTGCTTTTCCCACTGCTTGCTTTTGATTCAGCTGTCTTAGTTAAGTTGGGTAACCTACCTACCTGCTCTCCAGTTTCTGGTGCAGTATTTCATTGGAATTATCTCATCTTCTTTGCACTTTCTGTGGGTTTCTATTTGTGTATTCTGTGTGCTGTTGTTTTAATTTTATGGTGGGGGCAAGAAGAGTGTTAGTCTGCTATTATAAAGCAGAAATTTGCATTTTTAATGTATATATTTCTTTTGTAGTATGTATTACATTTATAGCAAATAAAATTATTAATTTTTTTCTTTTCAAATATTTCATTTTAAAGAGAAAAAATAAAATTTCAAAACAATAACTAGGGAGTAACAGTGGTATATACATTGTGTAATATGTATTGGTTCAGTTTCTCACATTAGTGAGACAATATACGTGTGTCTGAAAATATATTAATTAGAAATAAATCAGTTGCATCTCTTTCAAAACTACTGTGCTTGTGATATTAGATAGTTTAAATTCTGTCTTAGTTACTTTTTCATTGCTGAGACAAAATACCTAACATCCACAAGTTAAGGAAGGAGAGGTTTATTTAGCTCACAGTTTATAGTGGTTTCATTGGCTGGCTCCAAGGCAGCGTGGCATGGCATAGGTGCATCACAGAGGAGAAACAGCTCATGGTGCGCAGAAGGTGATAAAGCAACAAAGGATGACTGCAGCTCTTTTTATCCCTTGTATCTTATCCAGGCTACTTTGGACAGGTAGCATTCGCATACTTTATCCTAGTGCCCTTGATCATAGCAATAAACATGAATCAACCCCAGGGTCCCATACTCTAGATCCAGGCATCTCTGAAAAAGGTCCACCTATGACTGCATGAGGTTTTGGGGGACATCTAGACACAGCTATAAAAAAATACCTATTTTGAATTACATTGTGGATTCCCAGTATACTATAATTTATTACTAATAATACACTATTTTGAGTTTCTATCTAACTTTTGCAATGACTGTCTTTTTCTAGATTGTAATTTTAAGTCAAGAACCTTATTATTTTCCCTGTTTAAAAAAATAAGCTTATCAGAAATGCTATGAATTATATTTTATGAGAATTATATTATGATCTTGTTTTCTAGATTGAAGAATGCCTCCTCAGACGTAAAACAAATCATTAAAAATGAAACAGAGTTGGATATTACTGCTGATCTTAGAAAGAAACTCCATCGAGCTAAGAAAGAAAAATTAGAAATGACAACTAAGCACAATGCAGAGGTACAATTTATCTTCCTTTCAGTGTGAAAACTTGTGTTTGAATTTTTACATTTATTTCATATTACAAACTCCATGTTTAACCTTTCTCAGTTTACCATTTTTGTGCTTGAAATTGTAGGAGTAGAACATTTTTTTTTTCTTTTTAACAGTACCAGGGATCAAACTCACGACCACCTGCTTGCAAGGCAGGTACTTATGCCGCTGAGCTAAATCCCCAGCCCCAGGAGTAGAACATTTAACACAGAGTAAAATTTTATGGGACTGTTAAAGTAGAACTTTGATGAATTGTATTTATTTGTAGGTTTCTTAGATTTATTTTAATTACTGAGTTTGACTTGACCGAAAATACTAATTGATAAACATTTTTGATGACTGAAGGATTAAATAGGCACTTTTAAAATCATAATGTAGATTCTTTTATTGTCTCAATAAAGTATAGTTTTCTAACTCAGCAGATTTGAGTGTAGAATTTGTGTGTGGGTGTGGGTGTGTGTTACTGGGAATTGAACGCAGGGAGTGCTGTTACATCTTAAGCCATTTAAAAAAATTTTTTTCCAAATCCATTTTATTTCAAGGATTAAAAAAAAGAAAAAATTACAACAAAATTTCAAAGCACGTCTATTGGGGCAACAATTGAACATACATTGCACATTGTCATCCCCAAATCATTCACCCAGAGCACAAGACATCTGCATTCAGTTGTCCCAACAGTACCAGCACAGATCTTTCTCTTCAGTGAACTCAGAGCAATCACTAGTATAATTACCTTACTGTTTTTTATGTATATATCCATATACATATACATATACATACGTTTTTTCTTTTAGCTTCTCACACTGCTGAAACAATACAGTATTTACACTGTGTATCTTATTTATTTCACTAATGAGTATATTCTCAAGTTGCGTCCATTTACCTATAAAAGTCTTCAGTTTATCCTCCTTTATGGCTGAGTAGTACACCATTCTATAAAAAAACTACAACTTTTTATCCATTCCTCAGTTGATGGGCATTTAGGTTGTTTCCAAGATCTGGCTATTACAAACTGTGCTGCTATAAACAAGGGTACACATACATCCACTGTGATACAATGTTTTTCATTCTTCTGGGAAAATACCCAAAGAGGAAGAGCTGGGCTGAATTGGTTCTCTAGTCCTACTTTTTTGAGGAATCTCCACACTGATTTCCACAGTGGTTGTACTTGTCTGCATTCCCACTAACAGTGGAGAAGGGTTCCTTTTTTCTCCACATCACTCCAACATTTGCTATTGCTTGATTTATTGGTAGCCATTCTTTGTGGGGAGAGGTAGAATATTGTATTAATTTGCATCTCTCAAATGACCAGTGATGTTGAACATTTTTTCACGTATTTATTTGCTGTTTGATATTTCTTCATCTGGGAGGTGTGTATTAATCCCAGATGCCCATTTTTGGATTGGGTCTTTAAATCTAGAAGGACTGATTTTTTTTTTTTTGAGTTCTTCATATGTTCCTGATAATAATCCTTTATCTGAGGAACAGCTAGCCAACATTTTCTCCCACATTGTGGGCTGTCTCTTCACCCACAGTTGCTGTGCAACAGTTTTTCAGTAGGGTGAGATCTCAGTTGTTGATTCTTTGTGATAGTTCCTGTGCAATCTGGGTTTTGTTCATAAAGTCTTTGCCTACACCAATGTCTTCAAGAGTTTTACCTACTCTATATTCCAGAAGATTTAATGTTTCTGTTTTAATATTAAGATCTTTGATCCATTCTGATTTTAGCTTAGAACATGATGAAAGATATAGGTTCAGTTTTAATCTTCAGCATGTGTAGAGCTATTTTTTGCAGCAATGTTTATTAAAGAGGCTATCTTTCTTCCAGTGAATGTGTTTGGCACCTTTGTCAAAGATAAGGTGGCATAATGTGTCTAGAGTTGTTTCTGAATCTTCAAATCTGTTCCATTGATCTTTGGATCTATTTTTTGTTAATATTGCAGTTTTTTAAATTTAAATTTAAATTTTTTTTATTTTAAAGAGAAACTAAAGAAGACAGAACAAAGCAAATCAGAACAGAACAACATAAGCAACACAGCACTTCACAACAAGACAACTGGATATTAACAGTAGCTACCATAATGTCTCTTTTCTATGAAATAGTTGAGCATACCTTCACACACAGTAATAACAAACATAATAAAATAGAATAAAGCCATTCAAGAGAATGAAAGTATTACAGGATATTCAAAACCAAATAACAGAAAATGTACAGTTTGTTTTTTTAATCACAGTAGGTTTATAGTATAATTTCAAGTCAGGGATTGTGACTTCCATCTTGTCTTTGTTGCCTAGGATTTCCTTTGCTATTCTAGGTCTCTTCTGGTTACAGATGAATTTTAGGATTGTTTTCTCTAATTCTGTGAGATATGATATTGGAATTTTGATTGGGATTGCACTGATTTCTATAATAGTTTTGGAAGTATGGCCATTTTCACTATCTTGGTTCTTCTTACCCAAGAGCATGGGATATCTGTCCATTTTCTAATAGCCTCTTCAGTCGTGTTTTTCAGAGTACTATAATTTTCAATGTAAAGTTCTGTCTCTTACATTCTTCAATAGATTGATTCCTAAGTACTTCATTTATTTGGATGCTGTTGTAAAATGTATTGTTTACCTGATTATGTCTCTCAGTGAGTTTTTTATTCATGTATAGGAAAGCTGTTGATTTTTGAGTGTTGACTTTGTAACCAGCTATGTTATTGAATTTGCTTATTAAATCTAGAAGTCTTTTGGTGGAGTTTTTAGGGTCTTCTAAGTAGAGTATCAAGTCATCTGCAAATAACGATAGTTTAACTTCTTCTTTTCCTGTCTTTATTCCTTTTGTTTCTTTCTCCTGTCAAATTGCTCCAGCAAATTGCTCCAGCAAAGTTTCAAGGACTATGTTGAAAAAGAGTGGAGACAGTGGACATCCTTGTTTTGTTCCTGATTTTAGAGTAAAAGCTTTCAGTTTTTATCTATGTAGTATGATACTGGTTGTTGGTTTGTTGTAGATGGCTTTTATCAGATTGAGATAAAGAGCATCTATTCCAATTTTATCATGAATGGATGCTGGACTTTGTCAAAAGCTTTTTCTGCATCTATTGAGATGATCATATGATTTTTGTCTTTGGCTCTGTTAATGTGGTGTATTATATTTATTGATTTATATATGTTGAGCCATCCCTGCATCCCTGGGATGAATCCCCTGTGGTCATGGTATACAATCTCCTTGATGATTTGCTGAAGTGTGTTTGCCAATATCTTACTGAGGATTTTTGTATCAATGTTTACTAGAGAGATTGGCATATAATTCTCTTAGTTGAGTTCTTCTCTGGTTTTAGTATCAGAATAATGCTGCTTCCAGGAATGAATTTGGAAGTATTGCTTCCTTTTTCAGTTTCATTAAAGTATTTGAGAAGAAGTTGTGTTAGGTCTTCTCCAAATTTCTTGTAGAATTCAGCAGTGAATCCATCAAGACCTGAGCTTTTCTTTGTTGATAGGTTTTTAATTATATCTTTTATTTATTCATTGGTATTGAGTTATTTAAGATTTTTATGTCTTCTTGATTCAGCCTTGATAATTCAGATGTATCTAGAAATATATCCATGTGTTCTGTATTTTCTATCTTATTAGAATACAAGTTTTCAAAGTAGGTGTAGATAATTTTCTGGATTTCTTCACGGTCTGTTGTCATTTCACCCTTTTCATTCCTAATTGCATGGATTTGAGTCTTTTCTTTTTTTGATAAGGTTGGCTAAAGGTTTCTAAATTTTATTTACTCTTTCAAAGAACCAACTTTTTGATTCATTGAATCGTTGTGTTTTTAGTCTCCAGTCTGTTAATTTCTGCTCTAAGCTTTATTTAATTTCTTCCTTCATACAAGCTTTTGGTTTAGCCTGCTCTTCTTTTTTCTAGAAGTTTGAGGTTCAACATTAAATTATTTATGTGCACTTGTTCTGTTTTCCTGATATGCGTATTTACTGCTGTAAATTTCCCTCTTAAGACTGCTTTTTTTTTTTTTTTTGTCTTTTTCCTTTTTATCAGTACCGGGGATCAAACTCACGACTGTCTGCTTGCAAGGCAGGCACTTATGCCGCTGAGCTAAATCCCCAGCCCTAAGACTGCTTTCAATATGTTCCACAAGTTCTAGTATGTTGTATGGTCATTATCATTCAACTGTAAAAACTATCTAATTTCTTCTTTAATTTCATGTGTGACCCATTGGTTGTTCAGTAGAGTGCTATTTAATTAATATGTGCTTATGAAACTCTTGTGGTTTCATTTGGCATGAATTTCCAATTTCATTGCACTGTGGTCTGATAGTATGCATGGAATAATTTCAATTTATTTGCATTTATTTAAGCATGTTTTATGAGCCAGTATACGGTCTACTTTGGAATATGTCCCATGTGCAGCTGATAAGAATGTTTATTCTGACCTTGTGGGGTAGAACACTCTATAGAAATCTACTAAGTCCATTTTTCTTTCTTTTTTTTTATAGGTACCGGGGATAGAACTCACGACTGCCTGCTTGCAAGGCAGGTGCTTATGCCGCTGAGCTAAATCCCTAGCTCCCTAAGTCCATTTTTCAAAAATTTGATTTAGTTAGGATACTTCATTATTGATTTTTTTTGTCTAATTGATCTGTCTTTTGTGACAATGGGGGTATTGATATCTCCCAATACAACTGTAGTAGGGCTTATTTGATATTTATGTCCATTAGTTTAATATAGTTGGGTGCACTGACATTTGTTGCACATAGGTGCATGATCATTATCTCTTCCTCTTGGATAGTTTCCTTTTCAAGGATGTAGTAATCATCTTTATTTCTCTTAATCAGTCTTGGATTGAAATTCACCTTGTCTGAAAATAGAATAGCTACCCCTGTGCTTTTCTGGGTTCTTGTCACACGGAGTATTGATTTCCATCTTTGACTTTCAGTCTATGAATTTCTTTTTGAATTAAATGTGTTTCTTGTATGCAGC